CTCTGTGAGTCTGACACCTTGATATGTGCTGTGAACTTCTGGGCTATATCCTTGGCACCTCTAGGCCTTTCTATCTGAACTCTCCTACATGTGTTTTCCCTCCCAATTACTCTATGAGCTCCTCGAGTTCAGGAGCTCTCTTCTTTATCTAGTTGTATTCCTAGTACTTAGCATAGTACATCACACAGAGGAAGCATGTAATAAAAGTTTTTGATTCATTCATAAACTCCTCTGTTTAACTTTCAGAACTCTTCACAATCTTGCGCTATACCTATCTTTCCACTCTCGTTGTGCTACTTAGTATCCTTACTCCCTCACTCTGCAATAAAGCTAAATTGGTCTTCTCTCTGTTATTTATATACAACATTATCTCTTGTCTTTTTCTTTCCACTGGTTATCTTCCAAGCTTAGAATGTACTACTTCACTTCAGCCTCATAGAATCCCTCTCTTCCTTCAAGATGTAGCTTAAGCACACTGGCTCTGAGGTCAGGAGGACCTGTGTTCAAATTTGGCCTCAGATACTTACTAGCTGTGTGACTTCGGGCAAGTCACTTAACCCTGATTGCCTTAAAAAAAAAAGATATAGATTAAGGACTACTTTCTATATGAAGCCTTTTCTGATCCCCTCAACTGCTAGTGCCTTTTCTCTCAATTTACCTTGCATTTAATTACTTTGTATTTATTCTGGATATTCTTATATTTGTATTTGTTGATGCCACAATTAGGATCTATGCCTCTTATGAATGGGGCATAGTTTTATTTCTTGTATTGGCATCCCTTGCCTCTAGCACAGTAGGTGGCACATAGAAGGTGCTTAATAAATGCTTGCAGTTTGTTTGAGTGCAAAGAAGAGGATGGATATGTGAAATAATGTAAAGCTAGGATAAACAAGAATTGACAACTTAGTGTATGTGAGAGTAGATGGAGAAAGAAAAGGATGACTCCAAAGTTGAACAATGGTTAAAATATTGGTGTCATAGACAGAAATGGAGAAGTTTAGAAAAGGGATGAAATTGGGCAAAAATGTAACTAGTTCTGTTTTGAACATGTTGAGTTTGAAATGCCAATGGTGTTATCTAGGTAGAAATATCTGGCAGGCATTTGGTGATATTCCTCTGGAGTTTAAGGGAGGAAAAAAGATTAGGGTTGGATATATAGTTTTAATAGTCATCTGCATAGAGATGATAAGTGAACTCATGGAAACTAATGAGGTTATCAAGGAGGAGATTCTAGGGAAAGAAAAGAAGAAGACCCAGGAAAGGGCCTTTGGGGATATTGATTAGCTAGGCAAAGAAACTGGGGAGGAGTCAGATAGGTAGAAGGAGAGGGACAGAGAGAGAGAGAGAGAAAGAGAGAGAGAGAGAGAGAGAGAGAGAGAGAGAGAGAGAGAGAGAGAGAGAGAGAGAAGTATCACAGAAGCTAAGGTAGGAGAGTGTACAGGAGTGAGGAATACATACAGATCAAGAAAGATGAGGACTGAGAAAAGGCCATTGGAATGAACAGCTAAGAGATTGTTGGCAACCTTGGAGAGAACAGTTTTAGGCAAGTTCTAGGTTCAGAAACCAGGGTTTGAGAAGTGAGTGGGGTGGGGTGGGGCATGGGGTGAGGAAATGGAGGTCTCTAGAAAGAGACCCTTTCTAGAACCTTGGCTATGAAAAGGAAAGGAGATATAGGGTGAGAACGTGAGGCAATAGTAGGGTTAAGTGAGATTTTTTTAGGAGAAGGGAGGCTGAGGAAGAATTTTAGGAAATGGGAAAGGAACCCATATAAAATGAAAGACGGAAGGTGAGAGAAGAATTACAGTTAAGGGATCAAGCTTCTTGAGGAGATGAGAGGGGTTAAAATTATAAGGACAAGTTTATGAGGTAGCCTTGGCAAGGGACAAAGGCCACCTCTTTATCAGAGATTGGGGTAAAGGAAGAGACAGGGGAGAAGGGGAATGATGATGAAGCAGTTTTTGAAGTGTGGAGTAGAAGAAAAGAGTTTGAGATGAATAGCCTATATTTTTTAAGTAAAGTGTGAGGTGAGGCTCCTTTACTGAGAGGGAGGATAGAAGAAGAAGGTATTATAGGAGGTCTGAGAACAGAGAAGAAAGTTTGGTATAACATCTATTAAAAGTGTGACAGGGGCAATAAGGGGAAAATAAAAAGATTATTGTGCACCAGTCATGGTCCAATTGAGATAAGAGAACATAAGTTTGAGGTGAAGCCATTTGGTGTGGATGAATAACTTTATCCCTAGAGTAGGGATAAAGAGGGCATGGATATAATCCAGGATTGGAGTTTGGCAAGGTATGATGGAGGACAGGACAAGGTCAAAGGACTCCAAGATAGTAAATGATTGCCTAAGTCAACTGTAGGATCCAGGCTGAAATGAGAGAGGGAAGCCAGAACAGAGAAGAGCAGAGAACAGGGTGCAGGACGAGGTCAGGGAGGACAAAGAAGAAGGTGATATTGAAGAATAGGAAGTTGTGATCAGATTTTTGGAGTTTTAGTGGATCTTAGATTTAGAGCTAGAATGAACTTTAGAGTTTATTTAAGAGTCTAAAGAGACCTCAAAGGCCATCTAGTCCAACCCATATATGA